AGAGAGAGAGAGAGAGAGAGAGAGAGAGAGAGACAGAGACATTCATTTGGATTATTGATTAATCTGAAAAGGTCACTGAGCTCTGGCTGCGTCTCGTCCTTACCCGTCCCAGGAGTCACCACAGGGTGGTCGTCTCTCCTCTCTGTCGTAGGAGTCCGCTGCAGCGTCACATGGTCGATGTGTGGCACCTCCTCTCTGTGGCTCCTTCTCAAAGTCGTCCATCCCCTCGTTACTGTTCACAAAATAAATCGAGAGACGAATCAAAGAAACCGAACTGCAGCAGAGAGAGAGAGTGTGTGTGTGTGTGTGTGTGTGTTTGTGTGTGTTTGTGTGTGTGTGTGTGTGTGTGTGTGTGTGTGTGTGTGCGTGCGTGTGTGTGTGCGTGTGTGTGTGTGTGTGTGCGTGTGTCACCTCCTCTTCCGTCCACGCACGAGATCGTGCAGATAGTTCTTTCTCTCTATATCGTGACCTCGTGACGAGTTGAACACTGACGACACAGAACGTTTAACATGTTTATTTTTCAGCCATTTGAAAGAACACATTACGACACGTGATGATCACACGTGATGATCACACGTGATGATCAGACTCACAGTCGACAGCGTGTTTCGGATCCATCCCGTCCACGTCGATCAGATACCTGCAGGTCACAAACAGCCGTTAAACACCGACTGGTTAAAGAAAAGCAGCGAGCGCGGTACTGTGCGTACCTGCAGATCAGGTAACCGGTGCGATTCAGGCCGTGGGTGCAGTGGACTCCGATCAGTTTGTCTACGATAGAAACGTCCGTTAACATGTGACAGATGTGCTCATGGTACAAAAACAGCTGGAACTCTAATCGTCCTTCGTCGCTCACGCTAAAGGTTCCAGGTGTTAAGTGTTCTTACTTTGTTGTGTTCAAGTTCTGCTAAGACACAAAGAACCAGACAACTCGTCTGTGTTCAAGGCTTTTTTCTGTTAACATGTAACTCTGCTGCTAGTTTTGCTCCGGTCGGGACGTTGTGTGATTTCCTGACACGTGAATCTAAACCTGCGTCGTCACGTGTTCTCACCGTTGTCTGCGTTTTCTCGTAGAAACCTGCGAACTGTGCGCTTGAAGCTCAGGATCGTTGAGTCACTGGGAACCTCATGACCACGTGTGAAGATCTTCACAAACAGCAGACAATTTGGCATGTCCTACACACACACACACGCGCACACACACACACACACACACACACACACACACACACACACACACACTCTTTATATTCCAGTAATAACGTGACCTCTCTGTGTGAGTGGGTCGCTGACTTCACTTGTTCACCTGTAGTTTGTAGTATCGTGTGGTGAAAGTCAGATCAATAATCAAACCCAGCTCCTGATTGTCTTTGCTCAGCGTCTCCAGCAGCTCCCAGGGGCCGAAGACGTCCGAGCCAGAGAGGAGACGGTTCAGAGACTGAAGAACACAGATTATCGTCACTCACACGTCCATCGAACTCATTTTAATCAAGCTGCTGTTTCAAGGTTTAACAGGTGAGCTCCACGTTTGACCTCTCACCTGTTTGAGAGGAACCTTGAAGGCGATGAAACGTGTCCCGTCGAGTCTTTTACCGACGGCTTTATAATCCAACCATCTGATGAGAGACAGACAAGCTGCTGTTAAAACACGTGGGGGACATTTTCCTTCATCGCCATGGATACAGTGTCCAAACAATCCAAACCGTTCCGAATGCGTCACGCGGTCAAACTTTATTTATAAAAGAACAACACAAAATGTACAGTTATAATAAAGTTTCCTGTTTTAAACAGAGCAACACGTCCGCTCAGTTTCTACAGCGGAAACATTGAATATCAGTTTCTCTTGAAAGTGAAAATAAAACAAACGTGTTGAAATCATATAAAGAAATATTCAAGAATTAAACATCTTATATAAGAGGAAATGATTGTGTCCGTTCTACAGTCAGAGGATTGAAATAATATTTAGTCATGATGATGATGATGATGTTCTGAAGGAGATAAGTGAGGAAGCATTGAGGTTCCTTTCCTTTCACAAAGGATGCTCTGATGTTTCCTCTGCTGAAGGAGATTAGGAAGCATCCCGTTAGGAAGGTTCCTCCTCGAACACTTGGACTCTCTCTGTGAACACTCACCTCTCAGACAGATGTTTAATGATAACACAACTTCACATTTAACTTTCTTCAGTTCAACAAACTGAAACTGATCCAGTCTGACGAGGCAGCGAGTCTGTGACACGTCACTCAGCTGCTGGTCTGTGAGCATGTTGACGTGTTAGCATGTTGACGTGTTAGCATGTTGACGTGTTAGCATGTTGACGTGTTAGCATGTTGACGTGTTGACATGTTAGCATGTTGACGTGTTAGCATGTTGATATGCCATGTGACGTGTGAGCTGTCACTCACCTGTCAGGTAAACCTCCTCGTGGCATCTTCTTCACTGTTATTGAACGAACCAGCAGAATGTGACGGGCAGCACGCGCAGCGTCACACGTCACCTGCACTCGTTAATCTACCGGAAACACGCGGGAAAACCCGAAGACACCGAAACGACCGAATGTGATAAAAGTCTCGAGTTAAAAGTTTCAGTGGAACCGGTCGCGTTCCATTTATTTACTGCAGCTGCTGGCGCACGTTGATGACGTAGCTACACACGGCGCCTGACTTTACCACAGAGACCTCTAGTGGTGAGGGAGTGTAAATACATGAGAGAGAGAGGGGAGGGAGAGAGAGAGGGGGGGAGAGAGAGAGGGGGGGAGACACACACACACACACACACAGAGGGAGGGGGGGAGACAAAGAGAGAGAGAGAGGGGGGGAGAGAGAGACACACACACAGAGAGAGGGAGACAGAGAGAGGGAGGGGGAGGGAGAGAGACAGAGAGGACAGGGGAGAATACAAATAAAAAGACATGAGTTTGATGGATGTATAAAATCTTTATTTACAAACATCAGTGGACACGAAGAGAAGAAATAAAAGTTAGATTTAAAGGTTCAGTGTGTAGAGTTTAGTGACATCTAGTGGTGAAGTGTCATGCTGCAGCTGAACACCCCTCCCCCCCCCCTCTGCCTGTGGCAGCTTCAGTTGTTATAAAAACTCAAGAGGTTTAAGTTTGTTCAGTCTGGACTAATGTAGAAAACATGGAGGCCTCCGCAGAGAGGGTCGATCTAAATATAAAGTATTTAAATATAAAG